TGCCCCAGCCCACCTCGAGGCAGGTGCCAACCAACCCCAATGGCCCCAAATGCAACTTGCAAGCCGCAGCGTTGCAAAAAAACGAAAAAAGAGGCGAGGACAAAAAAAGCACTGACCACCACCCCCAAAAGGACCACCCAGATGTCCCAGAGGTCCCAGAGGTCCCAGACTCCCAGCACCCAACGTGGACCGACAAAAACCACCCACGCCCCGCCCGTGGTGGCTGTAAACCCGTCTTTTTCCCCTCCATAAACCCGTTGCAAACCGACCTGACCGATTCTATCCATCAAAGAAACGTCGACCGAGTCGAGCCATCCATCACCCCACGATTGCAGCGAGACTGCCCCCCTTCGCCGGCCCATCATGGCCCAATACCACAACACGGCCGCATCCAACCTGAGCCCGACGACCTCCAACAATCCCTCCACTGCTACCGCGACCGCAAACGCTGCCGCCGCCGCTGCGGCCGGCCAGGCTTCCACCCCCCAGCACAAACGCGTTTACCAGGCCTGCATCCCGTGCCGTCGGAGAAAGGTCCGTTGTGATCTGGGTAGCGTCGATAATCCCCACGATCCCCCCTGCGTACGATGCCGTCGCGAGAGCAAAGAATGTTATTTCAGCGCAACAAGGAGGAAGCGCAAGGCCGAGGACGGCGAGGACCCCGAGCCTGAGGATGTCGATGACTACACAATACGCAATGGCCGTAAGCGCGTTCACGTCAGCGGCAGCCCGCCCGTCGCCATCGACAAACGCCTCTACAGCGAGGTGCCTTTGACCCCCGGAGGCTCCATGGGTAGGACCCAACCTCTGCGCCGCCCTACCGACGGTGGCACCCCGAGCACCACGAGCCAGGCCGACAGCCGTCAGCGGAGCGACTACGTCGTTGACGATGAGCCCAACGCCCAGCTCGAGAATCGCGAGGCCCAGGACCTCATGCGACCCGGTGTCTACGGACCCCACGATGCTTTGGATCTGCTGTACAAGGCGGCTACGGATAGGTCAGTCCAGCTCAGGCATACCCAAGACGCGGCTGCTTACCAACCCCCGGCTCACAGCCCTGTGACCAACAACCACAAGCGTCACGAAAGTGTCGTTTCCATACCCGCCATGCCCCAGCAACCCGTCATCGTCACGCCCGGTGCGACCATGAAGCCCGTGGGCAATGGCAATGGACGGCCCCCGGTTCCCGTGGTCCTTGAGCCACAGCCCATTGACCCGGCTCTGACGAGACGTGATCTCTCCGGTGAGCCCGGCTATCACGACGCCATCAAAGCTTGGGGGAGGTTCAGGTTTGTCAGAGCCGGCTGGTTTTCCGCACAAGAAGCCATTGACTATATTGACTAGTAAGCTTATCTACATTAACCAATCTTTGATAATTCCAGGCTAACATTTCCTAGCTACTACGAGTACCTGTCACCACTTACACCAATCTCTCCACCAACCTTCCGCAATCCTGCATCTCACATCACCCTGCTCACGGAAGAGCCCATCCTCACCATCACACTTCTCACCATCTCCTCGAGGTATCGCAAGATTCCCGGCACAGGTGGCCAATGTCGGTCCAACGCCATTCACGAGCAGCTCTGGACATATCTCCGGGGCATGATTGAGAGGTGTCTGTGGGGCCAGGAGGCATTCGGAGGTGGGCTTGCAGCCATGGCCGGCGCCTCATCTGTTCCTGACGATCAAACAAGCAGCACCGCGCCCTGGCGTGGAATGCGAAAAGGCAGTCTGCGAACTCTGGGGACCATCGAATCACTGATGATCCTCACAGAGTGGCACCCTAGAGCCCTACATTTCCCGCCGGCTGAGGCTATTGACGAGCTCATGCTTCCGTCTTATGAAGGCAGTGATCTGATCAGCACAGACGAGCACGGCAATCAGCGGCCGTCCGCTAACATCGGCGGTAAGCGACTCGACAGTTGGCTCGAACCAGCCTGGAGAAGTGACAGGATGTGCTGGATGCTTCTCAGCACTGCCATGGGTCTTGCGTACGAGCTTGGCGTGTTTGACGACATTGATGAGCTGCTGCGCGACGGTGCCATCTCCCGCCCCGAGTACGAGGAAGAGGTGTACCGTCAACGGGCGTACCGCATCAAGCGCCTTCTGTTGATCTATCTGTCCCAGCTCGCCGGTCGTCTCGGTTGGACAAGCATGGTACCCGAGGCCTTGCGCAAGAGCGATCCGGCGGTAACCCGTCGCCGCCCAACATCCACAGAGGGCACAACACCTGGCACCAACCCGTCGTCCATGTCAAATGCCTTCAACTACATTCCGGACCTAGAGCTCGATGACCAAATCATACACTGCTGGGCTGGCATAAGCAATGCGATGCACATTGGTAACGAAAAGTTCTTCAAATCCCGCAAGCACACCACCGATATCATCCAGAGCGGGAAGTACACCGAGATGCTTAAAGACTTCCACCCGCTGCTCCAGGATTGGTGGAAAGAATTTGAACGCTTCAGGTTACCTCCTTATATCAGACACATTCTGACCATCGAGTACGAGTATGTACGCATCTACGTCAACTCACTTTCTCTGCAAGCTGTCGTTGAACGGTGTACCAATAACGCTGGTCACACAGCGCATGCGGGACACGGCACCCACGGCAATCATAACGCCGGCAGCGCGGCACAGCTGTCCCCCCAGACGCAAAACTACTTTGGCAAGCTGCCTCTGGGACAGCTGGGTGGCTTCGGTGCCAGTGATCAGGAGTACATCAAAGAGGTCATCAGTGGGTGTCGCAACTTGCTTCGAACGGTTGTCGAGGGTCTCTTGCCGGGCGACTATCTCAAGCATGCCCCCGTACGGACGTACTTCCGCATCATCAGCGGTGCCATGTTCCTGCTCAAAACCTTTGCTCTTGGTGCCCCACGATCAGATGTCAAGCTCAGCATTGATTTGATGGACGAGACTGTCAAGGCACTCCGCAACTGCATCGTTGACGACGTTCACCTGGGAATTCGATTTGCAGATCTTCTCGACTCCCTGACAAGCCGGCTCCGTAACCGGTTCATTCAGGCTCCTGCTTTAGGACTCGGATCTGCGGATGGAAGGAGCCCGGATCCCCACGGGGTAACCAACGGCACCGCTGCCAACGGCCAACCGATTGGCGGCCCCGAGGGCCAATCATGGGCGAACCACGCCTCAAAATTACGTGATGGGCTCAACGCACATGGTAAGCTTCACCTTGGTAACCATCACCTACCGTGACACCAAAACTAACAATAACAATTAGACGACCCCGCCAACATTTCCGCGACACCGTTCGACCTCAGCACTGGTACCTTTCCCTATCCGTCAGGCTCGGCCTCAGTTCTGGGCCCGTCCACGCCTGCACCGGCGCTAGAGAACGGCGGAGCCACGAGCGCCACCAACAACGCACCCTCATCTACAACGGGAGGCATGGAAGGCCTCTTTGACTCGACTGACTGGAACAACCCAGGCAATGAGATGTGGTACCTGCCGCCCGGGCCGGCATTCTTCCAAAACATGGATAACACTGCTGTCGCCATGACGGCCGAGGGCGTCAACGTCGGCGGTCTCGATCTCCTCGAGTACATGGCCATGGACACTGGCTTCCCCGTTCTCGATGGCCCTTCATCGTTTCCCTGAACCAGACAGGGCGAAACGAAGTGAAGAAAGATTCAACAAAAAAGCACGCGTGCGAAAACAAAAAAGGGGGTAATTTAAAGAAGACAAAAAGACAAAACGGCATCCGCAAGGTGTGTCTGTCAGTTATACACAAAATTGGGAGCAACGGAGTGGGAAAAACTGCAAAATGAGGAGAACGGGCGATGAAACTGCCTCGAAAGAGAGATAATGGACCGGCTAGCCAATGTAGCGATTTTGTTTTTGAATTTTTCTTTTCCTTTTTTTTCTTTTTTTCTTTTTACCAATTACACACGGCCCGGCAAAGTGGTCAAGATCACGCGGTTACGCAAGCAATACTCATGAAATTCGAAGGCAGGACTATTGTCCATTGCATTGTACCCGGATTACCCCTTTCAAAGAAATCCGTACGGCTTATGAAAAATATGGTTCAGATATACCCTTTTTGATATTATGCCATCCCCAAGCCGGATGCTCTCATATAGTAATGCCGCTATGATTGGTGATATTGAGCAGTTATACCAATATGTCAAAGATGCGATTTGTACAAGACTCTGGTCCAATATTGCCGCTCGGGATGTGTGAAAAGATGTCATCCCCTCGACTTGAACATGTCATGCATGATTGATACAAGGCCAGAGCCGCACAGCCTCTCTTTTCGCATGCCCATTTCACGTCAAGATCGTAGACAGCACGGTGAACAATATGATTACAACGAGGAGACACAAGAGCCGGTATGGCCTCGCAACAAAAAACTCTAGGCTCTCTTCCGTCAAGCCACTCCCGCCCAGTGTCGTTTCGTAGCTTCATTCCTGCCTCCTCCCATACGATCCCCCAGAAACGTATTTTCCCCTTTCACATGCACGCATGACGTCCCATTTCCCTTCCCCGCGAGTGCTTTTTATTCAGGTAGCATACGCAAAAATAGACACAATACGCACACGCACACGATACCACAGAAAGACGAGGGGCAGACCAGAAAAAGAAAATCCGTAACCAAAGCCAAGGAAAAGCAGGAAGCCGGTAACGCCTAGCCAGATGCCATTGGTAAAGCGAAGCAGAAGACCTTGAGCCTACCCCATCCCCCGCGCCACCCCTCACAAGAGAATCCCTCATGTCGATTCGTCTGCGCAATCGTGCTCAATTCGGTCGCGGGAAGAGCTGGCTTCGGGAGTGGTGCAGAGATAGGTGATCTTCCGCAAGCGGTAGGTAGGTAACCTAACTGACAAGTCCCTTCTTGCTCTTTTGCGAGGTCAGCGGCCGGTCAAATATATCCAGCCCAGCCCAGCCCAATTCCAATTCCAATGCCCATGCAGTCCCATAAATGTTGCGCGCAAAGGCCAGTGTTTGTAGTTCAGAGATACTCAACCCAAGACCTGCGACACCTAGACCCGGACATATTTTTGACTCACCAAGTAGTCCCACAGGAGCTTGGTCATCTGATCCGACATCGTATACAGATCAATGGAAAACTCTCCCGCTAGAGAAGTCTGTTAGCTCAAGCGCAACTCGGTGTTTGTGATTACCAATGTCGATCCCATGCATCCCCCAACACAAGGAAAACTGACCGGCCAAGAGATCGACACCAGGGGAAGCAGGCGCAAGCTCACCATCGACATCACTCTTGATGTATGTCTCCGCTGTCTTGTTATCATTGATAATTTGAATGACGCGGAGCAGATCATCCTCATCCAGCTTCTCGAGCGCCTGGGCAATCTTTTCGTAGTCGTACTTCTGGGCACCCTTCTTACCAGCACCACCCTTCTTCTTGAGGCGGTCATCGTCTGATGGCAAGGGGCCGGTTTCGCGCAGGATTTGCTGCAGGGCCTGTGAGGGGTTCTTAAAAGAAACGGTATGCTCGGCCTCGTAGCGGTTCTTAGCGAAGTTGAGATCGTGGCTGAGGGACTGCTTCGACTTTTCGGTAATGTAGCAATCGATCGTCATATCGAATTCACCCCATCCCTCGTTTTCGCAACGGAAAGGAGGCTTGTTGAAGGCTAGAAGTGGCTGCGGTCAGCGATTTGCAACAGGCAAGGTAGCAATCATAGGCAGAGTGTACGAACTTTGGGTCGGGTTGTCGAAGGAAGGGTGGAGGTTGTAGACGACCTTGAGGAAGCAGTCGGCCGGGTGCTCCTCACCATCCTCGCCGATGATGTAGACGTTGATCGACCATTTCCGCATGGGAAAATCCTCGACGGGGGACGGCTTGTCGCTAGAGATGAGGAGATGAAGGTTAGGCGCTGCTGCTGTAATAGAAGGGGCGCTTGCAAAGTGAACTTACATGACATTCTGCTCGGTGACGAGCCTTACTTTCCTCTTGATCTCAATGTTAGCATTGGAGCGACGAGCCGTGGCATTTCGGGAAAGAGCCATGGTGGTGGTGACGTTGATGGACTACGGTGTAGCCGGATCCCCCATTGAAGTTGGGGAGGAGGAGGAGGAAGAACGAGGGGATGATATGCCAAGATGGCAGATCGATGGGGTGAAGAATACGCAGTATTCATCGTCCAGGCTGCCTAGGAAACAATCATCGTCGGCTAGCCGACAGCGCAAACTGCCAACGAGCATGGTGTTTGGACAGAGCGGGCTGGTGGTGATGTCGCAGATGGACGCGACGAAGCGCGCTGGGAGGAGAGGAATAATTGATCGCAGTGTCTTACCTCGACAATCATGATGGGCTGCTATGGTAACGCAGAATAGGGGTCAAGCAGTGTGTCGAGTCCGGAGAGGGGGGAGGTCTGGATATGCACTGAGCAAGTGTGTGAAGTTCACCAGTTGGGATTTGGAGGTTTGGGACTGGAAGGCTGAGGGTGACGCTCGGGCCATGCAGACACCCAGGGTGTGGCTGGAAAGCTTGCCGCGTGCAAGCGTGTTGCGTGTTGCGGGGAAGGAAGCAAGGACTTTAATTGAATGGATGTCCCTCCTGCCCCTACGCATGCTACTTGTTTGCTGGAAGACAAAGCACGACAAAGGCTATTTTATCAGCAGATTCCGAACAAGCGTCGTCTGTTGCGGTGGTTGTGGCAATATCGCTCATCAGATGTCTACACGTATTTGCAGGAGATTCACAGCAAACAGTCGGCTTTTCAGTGAAGGGGTATGATTCATCCGCGCGTCTATCTCTCCTATGGGAACATCTAATCAATATAGAAGGGACTTTATTCTTGTTGATTTGTGCTGTGTAGAGTGTCTTGCTCCTAAGCCTTGATGCTATCCATCCGCGTATCAATGCTCAAAACAAACACCACTCGGTGCAAGTCTTTCTTGCACTCTTCAGCTTCTCCTCACCGAAGTGATCCAGCCTGCCTCGTATCGGGGGATGTAAAAACAAGTTTGACAATGGTGCTAGTTTCGGTGTTGTTGCAGGGGGGGCGGTTTTGATGACAGCCCGGCGTGCTGGGCCTTCCATCCTCATCTTCTCACGGAATTGGGATGTTGTGGTAAATCTAAGACTCTTCGACAGCGGGGGCGGCGGTGGCCTCGCTCTCAGCGGCCTTGAAAAGCTCCTCGTTGTCCTTCTGGGCCTTCAGGAAAGAGTCCTTGAAGAGATTTGCGTCTTCATCATCGTTAGCTCACTGGGTCATGCGACGATTTCCGTTACCGGCCATGGACTTACTCTCGGAGTTGGCGAAGCGGATGGCCAGGGTAACGGCCTCAGCCTCGCCCTCGCTGACATCGGCGGCGGCGTTCCACACCCAGCTGCGGTCGGAACCGACGTTGGGGGACAGCTTCATCTCGGGAACGACTAATCATTGTTAGAATATCGGTGGCGCAATGAGGTCTGACGCAACGTACTGTAGTGGTTGGCGCAGACCTTGAGGGTCTTGTCACGGCGCATGACGAGGCGGGTCTTGCCGTTCTCCTTGTGCTTGAGCAAACGGACATCGCCAGTGCCGCGCTCCTTCCATTCAGTGGTCTCCTTGACGAACTTGAAAAGCTTGGCGCGCATCTTGAAAAGCTGCTCCTCGGCCTCCTCGTTGGTGGTGACATCGACCTTCTCCGTCAGCTTGATGACGGGCTCGAAGTGAACATCTTCGGACTCGGGGGCTTCATCGTCCTGAATTTTCAACGTTAGCATGAAATCAAACACGCAACTTATCCCTGTATCAAGACACAGCGTGTGAATATGACGTACCTCGCCGTCCTTCTTTGCGGCATCGCGCTGGGCCTTGGCGCTGCCAGAGTTGTCACCGCGGTCCTCGTCCTCCTTCTTCTCCTTCTTGGCGCCACCTCCGAACATGGAGAAAACGGAAGAGGAGGTCACGGGCTTCTCGGCCTCGCCGGTGGTCTGTAGACGGTACTGTCAGCCATCCAAACATAGGGATATGGGAAATTGGATCGCGATGCCAGCGAGCGGAGAATGCGCATCGCTCCCGCCCGTCACGGAGAACCCGGGAGGTGCGGTGAGCTTTGAAGCATCTTCGTGGGGAAGCATGTTGAGGGCGGGGGGCGAGTGCGCGTGCGACAAAGGGGTGGTCGTACCTCGACGGGCTTGGTCTCCTCGACCTTGGGCTCGGTAGCTTCGGCAGCAGACATATTGATGAGTTTTGCGAAGTGGTAGTTTTGGGGTGAAGTATGACGATGTTTAGATCTGCGGGTGGGAACGAGGAGCAAAAACGTTAGCTCGTGGACTTTGCATTACGACCAAATCTGCCCCTCATCGAACGGACGGGCGCGACGACATGCTCGTCATCAAGGCCGACAGGAAGCGGACTGCGGGGAGCAGGTCTCAAGAAGAACAAGACTTACCAGGGCTAGCAGCGGTATGTTCTGCAGTAAGGGGGGATCGGAGAGTGGAAAGCAAAAGATGATTATGTTTCTTCGCTCGAGGTGAAGTTGGGAGTGGGTTGGACAAAATGAGGAAACAGCCCCTCATTCAAAAGTCAACAACAAGAGGGCAGGAGGGGTGTCGGGCGGGCCTGGCCCTTGCTGTTAGGTGCCCAGGCAGTGGTCATCCTGCCATCAGCAAGTACCCCTCCACCCAAATCATACTGCATTATACATGCTGTCGCTGCTCCTGACTCTGTGGGGATGCACCTAAGCCAAAGCCCAAGCTGGATTCGTGCAGCCAATCACCAAGCCTGCTGCCTTTGCCACTGGGGACCGGGAGTCCCTGATTTGGGGATGAGGAATTCGACGCTATCTTGGTCATCGCCCGGCCCTATCCGCACTATTGAACTGAATAATTTTACTAGATGATTAACAGGTACTTTGTTTGCTCGCAAGCTCGAACTATGACCGCACTGGATTTACCATATTAATCCCCTGTTGTAAGCTCTCAGACGGTCGTGCTTCTGTCAGTCAGGCAGGCAGGAAGAAACTTTTCCAGAAACTACTCAACTTGGGACCAAGTTTGGACGACGGACACAAGCACACGGCATTTTCAGGCACAACTTGTAGGTGTAAGGTGAGAAGTTTTACAAGACCACTCGGAGAATCATTGCAGAAGCCTGCTCGTAATCTATCATTTCTGTCCATCCATTCATAAAAAATACTGTAGCCGCCTCAAAGCAGCTAGAAACTGGGCGGAGCTTACCCTGCTCTGCTTCACTTCGCCGTCGCGACTGCGAACAATATGTGGGAAGAGTGGGGAGAGTGATGTGAATAACTAGACATTGAAGGGCGAATGAAGCAAAAAAAAAAGAAAAGATGAGACAGCCATTACAAAACCCATACCAATAACTCCAGTTCCTTCCTGTCCTTGTCCCTAACCGGCCTCCAAGGTATCTCCATACTTACGTGTAAAATCAGACTCATCCTTGCTGTCTGCACTGCTGCGTCCATCTAGAAAAGCCGGTGCCCGTTTGGCATCTAGCCGCCAGGCGCTCTCTCTTCCGACGAGCTCGCATCTCCTTCTTCTCCTTATCCAGGCGTTGGTTATGGGCCTCCGTCGCTGTCGACCGCAGCTTTTCCATGTGCTTCTTAGCCTTGTCCAAGTAGACCTTGTGCTCTTCCGTCTTTTGCAAGACCTTCAACGCCAGGAGCCGAGATTGGAGCTGGGCCTTCGTGAGGACAATGTTCGCTCGGTCTTTGAATTCTTGCAACCGCCGCGGATTTCTCAGGCTCTTCAGGTTCTCAGACAGCTCTGTAGATCCCTTGGCAATAGCATTCGCAGCGTTCGCAGCCCTCGCGGTGATGCGGGTAGACAATCCTCTGGCATCCGCTACGATGGAGTCCAAGCTCAGGAGGTTGAAGCTTGAGAGGTCAAAGGCTCGTTCTTCTGCCTGATGTGCGACACTGTTTGCTGTATCAAGGACGTGGGAAGCAACCGCCTTGCCATATCCAAGGTAACGCTCGAGGACGGTTTTTCCAAGATCGACCACAAAGGTCTCATTGACCTTGGGCTTTCGGGTTGTATTTACGGCAATAGTGAGAATGCCATGCGCTTCTGACTTTGGGATTTCAATCAAGATTCCCTCGTCGGTCGAAGAGAATCTGGTCTTAATAGACCTCTCGCCCTTGAGGACATCGATGGTGATCGAATCTTTGGCAAGCCATGATGTTTTCGTGCCGGAGGGAATCTTGATCAGAATCTCATTGCGGCTGACCTTCTCCGCCGAGCACACGTAGGCTTTGTCGGGAAATTTATCTGCAATGAAGTCGGCAAACTCTGCGAACGGTGCAACAGCCGTGTTGCTAGTTGCCGACGCTTTTTGAGCCACCCGAATCGTTGCGGTGGATAGGTTGATCGTCGAAGTCGAAGTCGACAGTACTGTCGAAGTCAAGGGTGACAGTGTGCTTGCTGTGGTAGAAGAGACTGTAGAAAGTGCCGGTGTGTTTGAAACTCCTGCCAAGAAGTAATTGGAGAGCAGCGCTGTGGCGATGACGCTGAAGACAAGAAACGCAGTCTGGCCCACGACCCATAGGTCGATATCTTCCACGGCCTCAACAGCGCGGTGCCAAGCATGACGAATAGTCTTGCTCATGTGATTAGAGTCGCACTGGCCCTTCCTCCAGTCTACATGAACGTATAGGCCGGTCAGATAGGCCAGGTTCCGATTCATCTGGCGAGCATCAATGTTGAGGAATGAGGTCAGGTCGATTGGGAGCTTAATAGAAGGCATGGCGCGGTCAAACGACTCCACACAGATGTGAATAGCGTGCTGGTTGATCATATCGTCCCACATTGCAGTAGGTTGATGGTAGACCTCGTCGTTAGAGATGAAGATGCTGGGCACAGCGTGCCTTTGCATGAAGTTCCATGCAGCAATCCGGGTACTTCTAGCAGCCTCATCATCATTCTCTGTGACGTAGAAGATGGCGACATGAGGCAACGTCCATGAAGGCTCGATAGTAGATCCGCTGGGCGCAAAAGCAGACTGGAAAGTCCGATCACCGTCCACCGTGATGTGATAGACAGTCTCACCCAGGAAACGTTCGCCTTGGTAGACAACCTCCTTCGCAGCCGTGCAATTCTCGACCTTGATTTGGTATTGTGAAGTCTTCATCAGCTCGACTTCGGGGACTTTGGGAGACCCAAGAGATGATATAGGCACAACGTTGTAGATGCCAGCGTCTTCACTGATGCCGCATCCATCCGCAGATGCAGATGCTGTGAAGGCCGAGGAAATCTTGTATATGATATCATGCCTAGCTGCATGGCTGCCCGTGTACATGATTCGGAGCGGTTCCTTGGTCGCCAGACAGTGTGACGCCATGGTTTGACGGACTGCTGCGATGAGACGCTTGTTCTGGTCTGGGAAGTTGAGGGTCTTGGCGATGGAGGTTGACTGCTCCTCGGTAAAGCTGTGAATGGTATGTTTGACTGACACCTGCTTGAAGTAGACTGGGTCTTGCGTCTCGTCAAATTCGATGGACTGGACCAGCGGGGTATGCTGGCTGATGTCCAGAGAACTGTCGGACCCCAAGGGCGGCGTCGCGACACGGGAAGACGGGTGGAGGAGGCTCTCCTCAGCGTATTGGATAGATGACGCTCGAGACCTGTCCTGCGCAGCGTCCTCTGAGTCTTGCGAGTCCGTATCGGACTGGTTTGTCATGTCCTCTGTATGCTCAGTGCCAGCGAGGCTGTGAACGTCGTCGGGCCGGGCATAGTCGAAAGAGCTCAGAGACTCGGCCTCGGTGCCACGGCCATCCTGGCTCTCGTCGTCTGTATTGATGAATTCGTATGTGCTTTCGGACAGGGCCGCGACATCTTCGGGTGCTTCTGAGGGAGTCATGATGTCGGGTTCGCTGGAGGAAATCCAGCTGGCCAGTTGCCGGTTTCCTTGTGGTCGGGGGAACCTCAAAGTGAGCTCGGAGGATGACAAGGTTGTTGATGCTGCCGGGCTGTGGGTAGATGTGTCGACGTCCGCGGTAGAATCGGCGCTGTGCTGCTCTTCCATACCGAGATAACAAGGGTTAGCCTTTTGTGTTATCCCGTCATGCCTCAGAAATTCGGGAAGCTGGAAGAAATAGTATGTGCTCGACAGTCGGCGGCTGTATGTGGTGGAAGGAATGAACGGAGTGGTTGTGGTGGTTGTGGCAGTGGCAGTGGTGGTAGGAGGATGGAGGGGTAAAGCGGGATATGGAACAGGTCACGCTCGTGAGCTGACACAACGGACGGCGGTTGAGGGGCGTGTAGGGGTTGCTTTTTCTTCGGGACAAACGATCTGATCCAAGAAGTTGAATATCTAGGTAGCACAGACGAGTCGGGGGTGTTGAGAGAGAAAAGGAGATTCAACTAACTCTGGTCGGGCCTTTGGGATGTGTAGGAGGATTGTGGTGACGGGAGGTGAAGGAAGGTAGATGGGTACTCAGGTAGGGTGCGTCGTCAAGGTCGGTCGGCGGCAGGTGTTGCCTGTACCTGTCTGCCTGGCCTGGCCTGCCTTGCCCAGCTTACCGAGAAGGTGCTCGCTGCTGCGTACTTGCCAGCTGGTGTTGCCTTGCGGAATGAAAATGGCCAACGCGGGGTGGGGAAATGGCAAGGGACTGGGAGGGATAGGATGAGATGGGACGAGATGGCGGTCGGTTTATCGGAGGTGACTACCTACCTATGACTGGGGGACGTCACGCGGCTGCCGCTATCAAGAAGTTGCGACAAAGATAAGGAACAAGGTACAGTCTACTAACCAGATGGCGTTGCTCACGTTTGGTCCTAGCTGTCAAAGCGTCTGCGGGCCGGGGTTTGGATTTGGTGGTTTCGTTCCGATATTGGTTGTTCAGGAAGGGAAGTTGAGAGCCCTGTGTAGAGGAGACAGAACAGAAGACGATGCGAAGTGAAGGAAGGACAGATGTGGTGGAGGAATATGACAGTTGTATCGGGATGGATGGGATGCACCTCAAGGGTGGTGGGTGGTGCGGAGAGAGAGAGAGAGAGACATTCAGGTCGGGCGCACCATCGAAAGGCAGAAAGGCAGCCGAAAAGGCAACGGGACGGCAGTCGAAACACGACCAGGCGGTCCAGGAAGGTACCTACCTAACCTTCCTTCCTTCCTTCCTTTACCGGACCTCATATCTGCCTCACCGTCCGCACTTTCCAAGAGGCGGGCAGGTGGCACCAAGTCAAACTGGCAAGAACTGTCAAGCGCCAAAGCTGAGATAAGTGCACAATTCCCTACTTACTAACGTACCTACCTTAAGGTAAGGTAGCTTAAGGTAACTCGTGCAAAGTACCCTGGCAGCCATGGATATCATCCAACAGCTGTCGGCCGGCGCATCTCATGTGCCTTTTTGGAGGTGGGGGCGGGGTCCATTGTGCGACCGAGTACTCCGTAAAGGCGCAACATATAGCCTTCATTTCACCTTGAAGGACCACATCTGACATTTGTGAACCGAGTATGCGTCACTCACTCCGGGGCCTGGATAGCCCGCGTTCAAATGGAATGTCACTGGCAACTGCCCCCCGCCCACTTTGATTGCAGCTCGTCACAAGCAGATCCGCATCATTGTGCCTCTTATCGATAACAAACCGGGGGAAATCGGTGCCAGCTGCGACTTGCACCCACCTACCACGCACCGCTGCGACCTGCCATGGTGGGGTTCCTTATCCACTAGCCCACCATCACCCCGCCTGGAACCGCTGTTGGTGCCAACAACCTTAGCTCCAACCCCTACCAGCCCTGAGTGGCATCTCGACCCTCCGGAGGAAGATCCGCTTCCTCCCCAACATCACCTCTTAGCTTCCTTTTCAACCTGGATCGGGTCCCATTTGGGCTTCACTTGGGCCGAACTTCTTCACTCTTCCCTCGGACCTATTCACTCGCTATCTTCAAGACCCAAAGTATGGCGAGCTGACCTCCTACTTAGTGCAGACACATCTTCCTGGCTGCCGCTTCAGGCGCAAGGTCTAGAAGGGAACCACTCGTCCCTCACACAGGCTGAAGCAAGGTACCAACCTAAAAGTCCAAGTCGTCCAATGTGGAAATCACAAGTGACTTCGGCCCGCTTGCGGCACAGTAAAAGGTCAAACAGGTTCGCCACGTACCACGACCACGACGCCTCATAACGAATTCCAAAGAAACTGCGTGAGTATCCTGTCATGGCTCCGCGGGGGGAGAAAAACTTCGATTTCGACCGTGGGTGTCACAGTGTGCGAGGCCCGCATGTCTATCTACCAAATGTTTCACATTTTTGCCGTCTTTCCTGTCTCTGAGAATCCCATGTCTTAGCCGAAGGAAAGGGTGTGTGGCGTCAATCCCATTTGATTGTGGCTCATGCGTACTTACCTTGAGTGACTACCAGGTGGCGGTGCAGCTTTTCTCCCCAACTCACCTCATTTAGACTGTGACACAACTTCACAATGGAATGTATCATTGCAATATTTTCATACGATGAGCAACGGAACTTTTAATCATTTGTACAATATAACAATAGCGAGAAAGTTCACGTGTTTTCGATTCTATCACCATTGTAACCACTACGCTTTGTACAACAAGCAACTCTTCCACTGACGAACATCAAATAATCTACTTCACCTATAATCTCCCAAAGTTCATCCGTTACAATCACGGCTTGTTGCCTACAGCGTCTAACACCGATATTAAAAATACCTGTTATTAAAGGTAGACTTTCACCCTAGTATCACTCAAGCCTGTCCTTTGCCTATACACCAACATTTTCTGCATCTAGCATCGACTGGGCTCGAAACCGTACGATGCGCCCTTCTCCAAGGCAACGAACTCGGAAGAGTCCTAGCTTGGAGGTTGCTGCATAGGAGGGTTTGCACCATCCCCTACCCAAGCGGCGCGGCCACTCAAAGAATGCCATTCCGGAGTTCGCGATAGACAAACGCGGGTATGAAATGCAAATACCAACTGGGATGACGACTAGACGCCAAACACAAAAAACATATCAAATCACCTCGAGTAAGCCCGCCCCCCGGCGCTGGCCAGCTACGCAGGGGAATTATATACACACCCGCGATGCACACACCTTACACACGGTAGGCGCAAAAAAAAAGATGTCTGATAACCATGACAGTAAAAGGCAAGATGCAGAGGAAAAGCAAAGAAAAGTAAGCAAGGCTGAACTCGAAACCTGTACAACCCGAAAATACTTCTTCACCTGAAGCAAAAAGAGCAAACAGGGCCCTCTCGGAACAGCAAACCAGTCCAACAACCCCCAGCCCACCAGCCTACCCTTTCTCCGGGCCGGAACACGTTTGCCGGAATTTTCGTTCCCCGGGCTCGTGGTTTCTGGTTCCTATGAAACAACGGAGCTGGGCGGGGGGGGGGGGGGACGTCAACCATCAACGGGAGAAGACGGGGTAGGGAGACTGAGACTGCGAGTCGGGAATTGTGGCTATTTGTATTGTAACCCCAGGATTAGTAACAAATTGCAATCTCACTCCTGTTCTTCCTTGCCTTCGCTCCCTCTGCTTTTGCTGGAGATCACTCAAAACATACAGACAACGGCTCTCGTAAAGAAGAAAGGCTCCAATTCTTGGTCTTTGCTGACCAAATCTTAAAACCCTCCATTTAACCCATGTCTGTATCCGTATCCGGTACTGGGTCAAATCCTCCCGCAATCTGCCTCGAAATCTCGCAAAGTCCCGAAGCAGAAAATCCACCGAGGGCCTTGTCCTTGCTCTTCTCGCCCCCTCCTTCTCCTCCAGCCCTAGGAGGCTGTCATCATTGAGGTGTATCGTTCCTTTCGTCGACGGCTTTGGTATCACAGGGACTGCGTGTATCTAGGGGTAAGGCAAACGTAACCCTTAAAACGATGTATATGCAATGTAACCTCTCATTTACCGACATCAATGCAATCATGAGCAGCACGTCCACATTAATTGTGTGAAATTGTTGACCAGAGTCCACGCGGACTTGCGAATTCTACAGGGGATCGGTAAAAGTTGGGAACCCAGCCTACAATCCTTAGATGCCATTGCTGCATGTTATTGCATTTCCATTCTCCCAAACCCACACCCAGGACGTTTCCTGCATGATAACCGACATCTCGGGCATGAATCTCCCCACATCATTACAGAAACAAGAAAACCCCGAAGAAAAGACCAATGGTGTATCAACGTCTTCCCCCAAAATGACGAGAATATTCCAGAGAAAACTCCGCTCCACAAACCAAAAGTCCGGGCAAAAGAGGAGAACCGAGTGCGCATTGAAAATGGTGTTGAAAAAAAAAGGGAACCGTTATGCTCGCGGAAGAGAACGCGCTGCAAAATGGGGGTATCGTAACAGAGGAGATGAGGTTGTCTTTTGCGTTTATTGATTGCTGTTTGTGACCGTGTTTGTATCATAGGATGTCGTGCTTCTGGAAAAGCCGTGCCAGCGTGTCGGTACCAAACATCTCGTCATCGGGGATCATTTCAATGATGCCTGTAAGGTTGGCGATCATGTCACCCTGGTTGCGGTACGCCAAAATAGCAGGCACGGCGGCGTTGTCGAACTCAATGTCAAGATAGTGTACCTTGACAAAGTGTATTGTTGAGTGCTGTGAAACAAGAGGCATCATGGCATGCTCTATTGTCGCAGAAACGTCACACTAGAAATATAGTTAGTACTCAAAACCTAGGAATGATGGTCTCAATAGAGCTCACCTCTGGATCATAGACGAAGACGACAACAACAGTGTCCCGCGCAACCTTCTCAATGGCATCGAGGTAGCCCAAGGCATCCACCTCATCCAGACGTCCGTAAATTCGCACACTAGGACTCGTTCTCCGGTTCCGGATGACCTTGTTGGAGTCGCTCTCGAGTTCTCTTCGGCGGCTCTCGCGCCATTGCTGCATGAAGCTGTCGTCAGAGTCGCTGCCGTTGCCTTCGTCCGTCTCGCTTTCGCTCTTGTTTGATGGTGGCGGCTGAGAGTTGATGTTGTCGAGGCCGAAGATGGAGCGCCTCACTGTGGTGCGCGCGCGGCTCATGAAGGAAGTCTTGCGAGCGTTCTCGTAATTGCGAGCATCGGCGATGACGCCCTTGACACCAGTGGTACGACCGGCATCGAAGCTAGCCGGGGGCAGCTTCAGGTCGGAGCCGGTCTGGCCAAGAGATGGCATACGCATGGCGGCGTCGATTTGGGAGTTGCGATATCTCTCTTCCTCGTCGAGGTCAATGCTGTCTTGTTCGCGACGGTCGTGGTCTCGGTCTTCGGGATGTACTTTGCTGGTGTCACGGGAGTTGGCTGCTAGTAGAGCATTGAATTCTTCCTGGGCTGGCGTAGGGTTCGACATCTTGAAAATCGTGCGGCGCGGCCGGGGAGGGGAGCTTGGTTTATGTATAGGACAAGGAGCGGAGGAGCGGGTGGGCGTGTGGTCAGAGGAGGAGGTTGCTGTCCGGGGTGTTGTTAAGGAGTAAACAAGTAGGTTGTGAAGAGTTGGCAATCGTGCGACGTTGAGCTTGGAAGGGTGTGCCCGGTTGTTCTGTCAGGGCGTCTACTTGGTAGTCGAGCAAGCAAAGTGACTTGTTCGGACAAGGACAGGATGGGTAGCGCAATTGGTGGTGGGAGAGTCTGGAGAGGAGAGGACGGACGGACGGTGGGAGGCGAAGCAGAGATGACTGGGAGTTGGATCGGAAGGATGGAGGCCCTTCGATGGATTTTCTCGAAGCAGTGGAGTCGAGGCCAGGGGTCAACCCTTGCGTGGACCACGATGCGGTGAAAGCCGGGCCCCAGTGGTGCAGTGGATAGTCAAGAGTCAACAGACTGGCGCGATGCGTGAGTGGTGCGAGAAGTACGCAAAAGGGCAAAAGGGGGGCTCGAGGGTCGAGGATCGAGGGTCGAGGTGGAAGCCCCTGGGGTGCGTCAGGCTGTTTCAGAAGCGGCGGAGGCGCGTGGTTGCGAACAGGGGAGACTGGACGGCAAAGTGTGGATGAATGGCAGAAGGTGAGGCCTTTGGCTATTGGCATTCGTGGATTGTTAACTTGTTCGGGGATATAGGGGGTTTGTGACGGGTCCAGGTGAGATCTGGTTGCGGTAAGAGGTATGTAGTCCGCGATGTTAAGACGAGGATGCGAGAGTTGATGATCGTTTGCGGGCGCAAAGACGCTGGAACGCTGGCACGGCAAGACCGGACAATTTCTTTCCAGCCCTGTAACTTGTGCTTGATTGAGCTGCCCACCCCCGTCCAGTTCCCGATTTCCGATGTCGATGATTGTGGGCGAGTCAATTTTCAAGGACACGAATGCCGAACTGGGATGTGCAGATGACGGAACAGAGAGGCCAGCCACGATGGTGTCGTCACGCATGAGGATACCAGCGACGTGGAGTGAAGGGGGCAGAAAGGGAAAAGTGGGGACATATGTACATTGCTACATTCACAGTAAATTGTATGGAGGAAGGTGCCAGTCAGTCACCACTTACCAGTCAGTACCCCGTACAGGGCAGGGAAAGAAGGGAGGCGGCTGTGAAAGAGAAACTGCAACTGCAACCTCAGGCAATTCCATGGAAAGAAAATGCGAGTACCTGAGCAAATGCAACTGCAGCTGCAACTCTTTCCTGTCTGTATGGCGTCTGCATATTCCTTCCAATGGAGAATAAAGTTATGGTAGTGTACCTATACTAAAGTAGAATGGAAAGTTGGGCAAATTACCTCCATTTCCCTAACCACAAACCAACGGGCCAACGCGCAAACCTTCCGTAGCCTGCATCTCAAAAATTGAAAATAAAAATGAAATAAAAAAAGATCTTTCCAAAGTTCCGCCGACTAAAAGTAAAGATCATCCAAGCTACCTTACCTCAGCCCAATGTACGGACCTATTACCGTCGAAAGGAGCCGGATCGATCAGACTACGCAGTATTATTACGGAGCAGAGAAAGGGTCGAGAACAGCAACATCCGTTATCCAGCACAGCACCACACCATCTTGCTTTTCCTCTGCCCGCGTGGCTTTGCTGGGATCATGGTGCTTGTCAGCATCACTCGACCCATCCACCCCATCTCTGCCCATTTTCTCTCCTTTTTGCATCGTCGTCACTCCACGCCTGTCCAATCAATGCAAACCAGTACGATAGGTGGGGGACAATTCGGGACCTTGCAGATAGGATGCACGCTGCATGTCGATGAGTTGGCTGAGCCGCTTTCTACATACTATATTCTGTCTTTATTTGTTATTGCCATGAATTCCACCCGCTCCCCGCCGGCCCGTTGGAGACATCACGCAGGTGACCTTTTGCTCCGACTCTCGAGCAATGGACGGCCCGGTCGCGAGGAACTCAGGAAAGGCCCCGAAGCCACGCCAAGACTTCCAAAGCTGGCGATCGCGATAAAGAAAACAAACACGGCAATTATGTCCCGTGTTGGGCCGTCTGTGAGTTGTCTGGTTGGCCCAAGTTTGGCTCACCGCAGACTACGTGCCAACCGTGATTGGGAAGACGCTTCGAAATTGACTTTCCTCCAGTGCTCTTGGGTTGGCGAGGACCTCGTATCACCTCGCAAATCATTATACAAGTCCTTCAGAAGATTGCCTCAACTTAGGACCGTTGGCTACCAGCTTCCGCTTCTTCGGGGTCCTCAAAACAGTCTCTTTCGCTTTCCTTTCTCCACCTTACTCGAGGCGCTTCAATTTGCAACTACGCCTGTGCTCGCATTTCTAACCCTCCTGCCTCAGACATTATGTCTCATTTCGGCTAGTACGAGTCGTTGCGCCCTACCAGGCCAGTGCGGGAGGACCCTGCATCGGAGATGGTGCTGCAACTGGCAATAATTTGTGGTAGAGAAGGAGATTGATGCCGTAGGGCAGCGACATTCCTTGCTCTGGTGCCTATTCGCGAGTGTCTCGCATCAAATGCGTCTTCAAATTCCAGACTCAATGTCTCACGCCCAACTTCTTCACCGCGGCTCCAAGACACCGACTCTATCCGTCGTCGGTCCAGCCGAACCGCAAACCCGCCGTCAAAGACTGAGCCCAGGCTTACTGCGTCAAAGAGACAATGGCAACCCACGGCGCGTCGCTGAGAAAGATACGCGGATAGTCCCAGCAGAAAACCTTGCCAGACTGGGCCACTCCATTGATTGTCTCACAGCTGCACAATGATTCTCAACAACTTCCCCATATGAGGGCAATGATACGCGTACATCTCCTTTGGCTCCTGAAGCAAACATGGACTGCCTGAGACGGCCAGAAAGTACTTCGCCGAGGAAGATGCCTTACTGACCCAGTAATAGATCACGACGCCATCATCCCACTGTGCGATGACATTGCTCACCCTTCATCATCCCGTTTGCCAAAACAGAAGGACCCCGAAACAGGGCACAGCAGTCTCACCATCAGCTCCAGAGATCTCTAACAATGACATGCGCTTATCGTCATATTTTGCCCAGTTTAATCGTCTGAAAGTCCCTGTTTGCCTTCGTTCCCTGGTCTGCTTAGATCTTTGGTCGAGACTTGGCCACGGCGTCGTGTGACCGCACTTGTCGGTGCTCCCCAGTCAATGCGGACGGAGGCTTGAGACGAGCGGACTCTTTTGTCCACTGCACATTATCGGCTTCTCAGTGACGGATCTCTCACTGTTCTCAGATCGGCCCACTGGCCGATTCATCTCGACTTGAGCGTACGGACTAGCCATTATCCATGGTCTTCGATGGTCATGGACGGTATTCTCTGTATACTTTGCTATTCTCCTAGAATGTTCGGCTCACAACACTTCTATTACCAACGACATGCTAACTGAAGTTGGCATGACCGTTGACTCATCCGCAGCTGGAGACGTTCAGTCTCAAGTAACAACTATGGGTCTTCATGCCACGCATTGCATGGCTTTCCAAATGCGCATGAAGAGGCCTTACGATGTGTTCAAACATGAGTTACCTTCTCCGCACCGGATACGCCGTTTCATGCCTAACGACAGACATCTTGTGGACACGATGTCGCGCGTGGTCGACCCAGAACCACGGCTCCCGATGCTGCTCGTGCGCTGCTGACTGATCATCCGGTTCTACCTCCAAGGGACCAAGACTCCATTCAACCACCTCGGAACACGACTCAGTGATGGCAGCTCACTCCGCAAGTCAAACTTTCTAGCGTACCATTCCCCCTTGGCAGTAGATCCTAGCGGAAATCTATTCAAAACAATCCCCGAAAGCGATTTTACTCGTCACAAGACTCGACAGGGGATATGTGCATTCCAGCGAGATGCATATTCGTTCTGGATATACCCGCGGGTTTCATACTTTTGTTTCACAGAATCCGCCTACGTTCAACGGTAAGAACATCCAGGACTTGTAGCCAAGGACGTTCCTTGTCTAGGTCTGGTCTCGTCCATCTCAGTTTGTTACCACATACCAACATTATTGGCAGTGTGGCATCGGGGCTGGGCGTTCTCACAGCAAGTTGTAGAATATTTATGTTGTCGATAAGTCCAGCGAGGCATCTTGCAGCCGGTTCGTTTACTCATAGTTTTTTCGTCGACTCACATACTCTAAACTTGGCTTCCGCGCCTCGACACACCGCCAGCTGCACGCTGCCGGCACTATGCCGCTGCCCATGCTACAGTCATTATCCGATCATAGTGACCTGACATCTGCATATACTCTGATTACAAGAAGGGAGAAAGCTCGAGGGATGAGCGTTGACCGTATCAGGCTCTTGAGGCGACTCGTAAAGTTCTGTCAAACACGTTGCCTCCTCCTCCGCCTCCTCCTCCTCCTCCTCGGCTCATGCAGTATGCATCCCACCGGGTCAAATGAAGATCGACCGAGGCACAGAAACGTATCATCCAAAAACGCCAGTGCGGTTCGACGGCGACCACACGATACACACAATACACACTACACAATAGGCATCGAAGTACTTCATCTACCCATACGTCGTGGCTACCAGGATCTCTGCATCCACAAGCGCATCGAGCTTTCCAAGTATAACTCAAACATAGGGCGTCAGCCACCAAATCCTTCTTCCTCGCCCTTCTCTTCCTCCCTTCCCCGGGCCCGTCCCTAGCTGCTGTTTTGCTAACTCCTTTTGCAGTAGCCGGGAGCCCCGTCAGATTGTAGCCAAAAACGATCTTCAACGCCCGCGGCCGGACATATGCAACCCATCGCGGTGGTACATTTCCCATCGCATGCCTCTTTAGTTTGGGTGTTTCTCCTGCGATCCTCGTCGTCCGTGCTGGAAACGATCTCATTTCCAGAGTTTCCAGAAAACCCATCGCAAGAGCTTCGAGAAGCTCTTTCTATGAACGCCACATGCATAGAATGCATAGAAGGCAGCTCATAGCTTTCCCTTCCCCCGCAAACACT